AGTGAAAAACACGAATATTTGACAACTTGTTAGTGATCGACAAAAAATTTCCCCAAAAATAACTATAAATTTTCACTAGTTAGTATGCGGATCACGAATTAAATAAAAAATTTTTTACCAAATATAACTAAGTGGTTGTCTGGATATTATTGTTTAAAAATCTAGAAATCTTGAAATAAAATTTTTAGACAACCATACAACTGAACCTGATAAATTTTTATTTTATTATGTGAATCTATAGAATTTAAATAAAAATTTCTAGTTTGTAAAAATCACTCAAATCAATTCAGAGCACTATTATTAAAGATTGTTATAATACTTTACCAATTTTCTAGTATATATTGAATCTTACATGAAGTTCAATGTATTTTTATACAATAATTGATAAAATATACTTCTTTTATTAATTATTAATTGATTCTGAATAATATGTTAATACCTATTTATTATTAAATATTTAAAATTATAGATTAGCTTTTTAAAGTGAAACTACTTTTAATTACAAAATCTACTAATATAGAAAATGTTTTCTGTAAAAAGATAAAGTAATTATTAAGATAGATTCAATTAGTCCCTTTTTACCATCTAATACCTTAGGCTCTATCTCTATTCTCAATCAGTATACAAAAACTAAGAATCATGTTGACAAGATAGAAGCCTAATAATTAATTTTTGCAATCTACATTGAGCTGTGCGTTATGCATCCAAAAATTCATTTTATAATATCTAGAAATATGATTTCAACTCTTGAATTATCGATTCTTTAATTTCCTGAATGTGGGTTCAGATTTCTGATTCCTGCAATCTCTGGAGACTGCTATTAAAATTTTGAAATACATAAATAGAACCTAGTTCTAATTCTGAATCTTTAAACAAACTCTCTTGTTATTGGATATTATTAAATTAAAATTTATTTACCAACATTTTTATCAAAAGATGAATAATATTAAATAAATGAATTACCAAATTGTAATGAAGCTTTATTATTGTAAAAAGCTTGGTTATCTTGAGAGTGAGCAAGATCTAACAAATTACATTCGGAAGAAGTTTGTATCTTTGTTTCAAGCAAATTTTGAAAATATTGTGAAAGAGAATTGGCACTCGAATCATGATTGATGAATAATTGCTTATTCATTTCAGTTAGAGGCTTAGACTGCGAAGAAACATTTGTAAATGAATTTTCCTCGAAAGTGTTCAGTTGAATAGTATTTGCATCTTGTGCCCTATCTAACAAATTAGAAGACAGAGAATACGGTTACTATAATATTTATTAAAGATATATGAAACAACTAATTAAAGTATCCAATATTTAATATTAGAAGATTGAGCATCACTTAATTTATATAAACCCTCTTCTATGATTAGGTCAAAGTTATGGTAGTTCTAATTTGCACTAATAGCAATATTATGAGCTTTTATATGAGTTAAATATTGTCTTAAAGAATTAGGTTTTATATATTTGTTAACATAATGATTAATATATACTTGCAAATCTATTTGTTTAACTGGAAAGGGGATTTTGGAAGGGTCATGTTTTTTAACAACATTAGTATAATTTGTAACTCCTTTTCGCAATTCTGTTTTTTTGAATTACGTTTATTACCCTTTACTTTGGCATTGTTAAAAACAAAAAAAAAGAGATAGCAAATTTTTTTCTCTGAAATGAATATTGCTAGCATATAAGTATATTACATTTGTCGATCTATAAAATATATATAAGTTATATTATAATATATACTAGTTGTAACTCGTCATGTTGCTGCCGGAAAAAAAAGTAAAATTAAAAAAATTAGTAATAGTATTAAAATGGAAATATAGAGAAATCTAGTATATAATAGAGCAAA